AATACTCGGGGAGGAAATTTTCACAGGCCTCTCTTGAGGCCAACTTCTCACCATTAAGCGCGTTCGCCATGGACAAGAAAAGATGGTAATCACTTGGTGCCAGGTCCGGACTATAAGGTGGGTGCATTAGAACCTCCCATCCGAGCTCCAGGAGCTTCTGGCGAGCCAAAAAAGACGTGTGTGGCCTGGCGTTGTCCTGATGGAACACAATTCGGCCTCTGTTGATCAAAGATGGCCTTTTCTGGATGAGTGCTGCCTTCAAGCGGTCCAGTTGTTGGCAGTAGAGGGCCGAATTGAGCGTTTAGCCATAGGGGAGCAGCTCGCAGTAGATGGTTCCTTGCCCATCCCACCAAACACACAGCAAAACCTTCCTGGCCGTCAATCAGGCCTTGGCCACCATCTGGGCTGCTTCCCCGAGCTTTGACCACGACCGTTTGCGCTCGATGTTGTCATAAGTGACCCATTTTTCATCGCCAGTCACAATCCGCTTCAGAAACGGGTCGATTTTGTTGCGATTCTGCAGCGATTTGCAGATGGAAATTCGGTCCTTCATGTTTTTTGCGTTAGTTCGCGTGACACCCAAACATCGAGCTCCTTTTTGAATCCAAGGTTATGCAAATGGTTCGAAACGGTTTTCTGGCTTATCTTTAGTTCCTCATCAATTAAATAAGTGCTCACGTTCGTTTACAGTATCGGGCCCATAAACTAAATTAATGTTTTCAGCCGCTTTGGCTGTTTTTTCGCTTTGATCGAAGAAAAATTGTAAAATATATTGAATTTTCTCTTAGTTGGTGTCCATCTTTGACGAGCGCTCACAACGAACTGAGTAAATCAATCTATCTATACTATCAAAGACAAACTTTTAGCGCGAATAAACACGTTTTCAGCGCCGTATAGTATGACATGATGCGACACGTAACACTAGTACTATGGACAATAACGCCATCTCTTAGATAAAAACCTTTTACTTTTTACTTGACCTAATATTACATGGAGAATTACATATGAAAACGCTGTTTTAAAAGTTAGTGCCGCCTACAGTAACACTTCAACAAAAACTGGATCGAAAACAAATTTCCCATCATAATTTGGAACGTTTTTTAAACAGAATAAAACCGATTTCTTGCGTTGTTTTATAACTATGGATGAGACTTGGATCTACCAACATGATCCTAAATTGAAACAAGAACATTTGCAGTGGACTGAAGCTGGCTGTTTAGCTCTAAAGCAGGTTAAGTCACAACGATTAGCAAATAAGGTTATGACATCAGTTTTTTGGGATGCAAAAGGAATCAACTCCGAATATTTTTACAGCCTTTTGAATCAGCTGGATGAAAAATTTCGTGAGAAAAGACCTGGTTTGCAGCACAAGAAAATCATTTTTGCAATGCACCTGCTCACAAAGGTGTTTTAACAATGACAAAATTCAACAAAGTAAAGTGCGAATTGCTGAGCATTCAACGTATTCACCAGATTTGGCTTCCAGTGGCTACTACCCCTTCAGAAACCTGAAACAATTTCTTCGTGGAAAACGTTTTTCGTTGAATGAAGAAGCTTCCGGAAAGTCATTATAGAGATGACATAAAATTATTGGAAGATCATTGGAATAAGTGTATTGAAGTTAAGGGAGATATAAAAAATATGTTTCGTACCAAAAACAGTATTTTTTCATTTCAAGCGCACACAACTTTCAAACCAACCATAATTTAAATTGTAGATTTTACGATTATTCTGTTTCCTGTGCTCGGGAAGTATGGTTGTCATAAGTAAGGCTTGTCGCTAGTAAGATTGGAGTTTTGTTCAATAAACGGTTGTTTGTATCACTTAAAACTAAAAGAAATAGATAAGGGTTATATACTTGTACATATACATACTTGTATATAAATCAAGATGACAAGACGAGTTGAGTTTGTCTGTCCGTCCGTCTGTACAAGCTGTTACTTGAGTAACAATTTAGACATCTTGATGAAACTTCGTACACACGCTCCTACCGACAGCGTGAAAATGGATGAAATCGGATAATGACCTCGCTCACTCCAATATAAGGGTTTTGTTAAAAACTATTTAAAGTGCGTTAAATCCATAAATAACCGGTATGGTACTAAAAGGTTTAATAGGAGCTGGTGTCGAAATTGGACGATTGGCGTGGCACCGCTCACATTTACTGACATTTACATGTTACGGTACAAAAATGGGCCAAATCAGACTACAACCACTCCTTACTTCTTATATGACACAATTTTAAATTCCGTCTGATTCTTTCACTTTCCTGTATGCAAATCAAGCAATAATGAATGTATCGGGATAACACTTTGCACCAATAGGGCGTTTAAAGTTGTGACCAAAAATTACCTCATCGCACTATAACTGTTCGAGTCCCCAGACACCGAATATGCGAACATTTGCTCGAAAATATCTTAATTTTTATTCAAGTTACAGCTTGTACGGACGGACAGATAGTCACGCGGATTTCAACTCGTCCCGCAATCCTGACAATTTATAAATATATAACTCTATATTATGTCGATTTGTTGTAGGTGTTACAAACAACCGGTAGGGGAACAAAACCATAAAGGCTGTAGCGACACTCTGTTGCGAGAGTATAGTTGCGAAAGAATTTAATGTGCATTATTCGAAGAAAATGTAAATGGAGTAAAATCAAAATTGATACCTTATTAGCTTATGCATATTCTAGGTCATAGACTCACTCAAGATGATTACTACATCTTTCTCCATGTCCATATTTATATTAACATCAACGTAATTAACTAAAATGGGATATAAGTGATATAAACTCAAACAAAGCCATTAAATTAATATATTGGGTATATGAGAAAAAATTCAACCAGATTAGGGATATAAGGTTAGCGCAAGGTAGAGACAAATTTAATTTATATTCAGCGCTAAACAATATTATTTTTTTAGAAAAGTTGCCCACTTTCATACACATATTAACCAACGTAAGCGGGTTAAAGTCAGATGGAAAGTTAAAATGGATCACATATATTGGTGATAGGAGAATATCTGGCGTTAAATTTTGGCATTGCTTAGCTCAACAATGTTTTTACGCACTTCCTACTTTGACCCACTGTACCAAATTAGAGTTTTCAAGTCAAATCTGAAGTTACAGCTTGGGCGGGTGGACGGGCGGACGGACAGACAGTCAATCGGAGTTTAACTCGTCTCGTCGTCCCGATCATGTATACATATATTATATATAAAACTCCAATTGTTACAAACCACCATTAGTTGAACAAAATTACAATACTCTTTACCAACATGCTGCGAGAGTGTAAAAGTCCGAACAAAAATACATTTTCAAACATGTCGGCCAAAACCCTTAAAAGTTGTAACTAATAACATAATAATGAAAAAGTGAGTCTTCATATTACGTAGGAAAATCAGGAACATTTTTGAAGTGAACCGCTCTTAAGAGTGGGGTTAAAAGTTATATAATCGTGAAGTTTGTTAACATAAGAAGAGAGCCATTTAATAAGAACTTGACAAAATGGGAAAATACAGCAAAATATATAATAAATATAAATATAAGCAAACAAAGGTTAAAAAAAGGGAGTGAGTAAACGCTTCCAATCTTTCTTAACCCTGCTACTATGTTGGGCTCATTTGATGATCCAAATCGTGCATGTATTGTTGAAATAAACTGACTTTAATTAATTTGAAAAATATTTTATATGGGTCTTTGATAATTTTTTATTGCAAACGTATACACATATCATGTTGGGGTCATATTATGGCCCTTAATCATTTTTGCAAGACTGATAATAAATATATAGTATTATACTTGTACATATGTATGTATGTCTATTTTTGAAATTTTCAATCTCCGTTAAAATTTTCTAAACTGCAAGTGAGAATCGAGTAGCGGCGTTTTTTGCAACACACCATTCGTAATTATTATGCCGTTATGATTCAAAGAGTAAACAAAACGTGCGTCATAATTTTTACTTTGTTGCCAATGCATTTACAGTGATAACGGATGTGTCCAGTAATAACGACGCGAAATATTTGATTCGGTGCTAATATATAGTTTCAGCCAGTTGAATCCAGTGATGATGGGGATGTTAACTTTTAACCGGAGAAAGACGAATGTTTCACTTTAGAACAATCGATTTCCAGTAGCGCGGAGGACGTCATTGCAATGACTACAACTAATGGCACGGAATTTGTTGATAAAGATCGTCCGTTAAAGTGTACAAAAATTCCACCATTACAATGTCTTAGTCGTATAGAAAAAGAAAATCAGTCTTATTGCAAACTTCGGCTGAACGCCATTTTCAATGGAAAAATTTACAAAATTTTGATATTCTTATCGTGAACGTCAAATGGGAAAAATTTCCCATATTCGAAAATTTTCTCTATTCGTATAAGTTATTTTTTCATGTGAGTCAATGAAATTTGTTTAGAAAATTCATTGCGGTAAGCAACTATCAGTAAAATGTAAGCATATTTTACTAATTATTTACTTGATTTTAAACACTTCGTTTATGAACTAAGGCCTATTTACAAAATATATAGGCCGTTTTGGTCAACAGTAAGGCCGAAAATCCTGATATAGAAAAGGGTTTTAAAGAGGAAAACACGATTTTGAATGAAGTTACACGATTCTTCCAATATCAAAGGGGCATACCATCGAAATCGGTTTCAGAATAAAACAAAACCTACCAACGATTTTCAATTTGCTGTCAAATGTGCGGCCATTCAAGAAGTTTTTTAAACTTCCTTCAAATATACCAATACATGCGAAAAATGTTATCTGCATAATTTATGCATCTAATACCTATTAGATCAAAAAAGATATGCATGATATATAATTAAAAATAAAAACACACTTTTAAGCTAACACCGTCGCATAATTGACTTTATAAGTTTACAAAGTTTTTTTTCAATGCCACTAAGTGAAAACTAAAACATATGTGACAGCTTGCCGAGGTTCACAATAGCACAATCGAAGTTCAAATATTTCACACGAAATTCCTAGTACGAAATGAATTATTCACGCGAAGTTTACAATAAGGCTGGATTAATTTCTTATGCTATTCATCGTATTTCGCAAATTCGTGATACTTCTGATCTATGCCTTACAGAAGATATGAAAAGGGATATAATTTACAAAGTTGTCTTCGAAGGTTTTCAAGCCATGGATGAAATTGAGTTCGATGCTTACCTGAAACTTCTTATTCTTATTGGTATTTATTTACACTATTCTTATTGTTTTCTATTATTTCTTATACAATAATTATATAATGCACATGTTTCCTTTTAGGCATTTACCGCTCATATGGTGAAAGTCTTAATTTCCTGTGGGATGAATTTAATGGACATCTTTTTTTACAGTCAACATGTCTTTGGAGCGACTTAGCAATATTTATCGTGAACTAGCATTTGATGATAGGCACATAAGAACATCAGAACAAAGAGGAGATAAACTTGCTCCTGTTCGCAAATGTTATGAGCAATAAACTCAAAACTTGCAACTGCCTTACGTTCCAAATGCAAATATATAACGATTGACGAACAGCTTATTGCTTTCCAAGGTAGATTTTATTTCGAAGTACACATGCTTAGTAAAGCTGGGAAATATGGCACGAATGAGCCGAGTCGAAAACGAGTTGTTTTAAACTTAATATCCTTATAACTTGGAAGATATGGGAACTGATAATTTTTTTGCGAGTCATATACATACTTGCATTAGAACTGCTAAAGCAAAAAAAAACTATTTGTTTAAATATAACTGGCGTTAAGGCCAAGGGGCGCCATTTAGTGGTGCGGAGCAACATAAATAATCTTTATTAGTGTTAGTAAAATAACATATATAAACCTAACTATCCTAATAATCCTAATTATTAACATATAGTCCACTTATTTTAAATAATTACCTTTGTCCTCGGCGATATGTTCAAATATCTTTGAACATGACAATATAAAACATATATGCAGAAACAAACACCAAAGAAAAATTAAACATTTAACAATACAAACATATGTACCTAGTTTACTTGCAGATAAATAAATATATCAATATTATCTATGCAATACAATACACATAAAATAGTATATAAGCGATGAAAATAGTAAAATAAACCCAGATTGAAATAGTTCTTACTAAATGACGTGTTTGTCATTTATTGTCCACCACCAGAGGTAGGATATTATTGTACAGTTCGTCATTACATTGAGAAAGAACAAACGTTTTTTGCCGGTTCATGCTTCAACAAGCTTCCAATTTACTCAAGTAAATTTTCGCGACAAGTAATCTGCTGTAATGTATTGTCAAAAATATACAGAATGGTTTATTTGCTTAACACTTGTCACCATGACAGCAATATTTCGCAAGATTATCCAAAAAAATTCCGTAAATAATTAAATACTACATTTCGACAAAACGCGGAGTCGACACAATGGACCAAATAGTTCGTACATATTCCTGCAAACGAATAACCAATCGATGGTGGTGGTTTCTGCTATCAACCTTTTTATAAATTCACAAAAGGCGCTTATTTTTAGTGCAACTCGCAGACACCTTAGCTTAAGAAAATATCAAGAAGCGTAGTCGGCTTCATCGAGCAGAAGCCTCTGCATCATTGGTACGAATAATTCAAGCAGAGAAAAGTGTAATTTTTTTCTAACGTAGTAGCCGGGTTGATACCTTACAATTATTGGTCCCATAGAGCTATTTATTTTAATTTAGTATTAAATAAATTCAAATATCTTGAAATTTGTACAAAAATTTTTATGATTAATTTTTAATTTACAGTGCTTTTGGGCTTTGGGGGCCTGCTTTGAAATTGCTTTAGCCTTGGCAATATACCCAAACTTTGGATGGCGATGGCTTTTGGGCTTCTCAACAGCACCATTGTTGTTATTTACTTCTCTTACACCGGTAAATATACACACTTATACTCCACGTATACAAGCTTCTAGGCATATTGTACATTATAAAGATATTTAATTAAGATTAATAAATTTCTATCTCTGCTTAAGCTAATGGAAAAATGAGACAATCTAAACAAAAACAAGTAAGGAAGGGCTAAGTTCGGATATAACCGAACATTTTATACTCTCGCAAAGTCAAATGGTATACTCGTTTGAGATTTCTTTGTGGATTGACTGATATTTTCGGTAGAAGGTCAACTATAGGCACTGGGGTCCACATATTTAGTACTTAGGGGTTTGAACAGTTTAGGTTCGATTTAGACAATTTTTGGCCGCAAGGTGGCATACTGATAATTGCATTATTCACGCAAAGTTTTACCCCGATATAATCATTGTTACCTGATTTGCATAGTGGAAAGTGAAAGAATCAGATGGAATTGAAAATGGTGTTACATGGGAAGTAAGCGTGGTTGTAGTCCGATTTCGCCCATTTTCGCACTATAACATAGAAACATGAAAAGAACGTTACGTACCGAATTTGGTTGAAATCGGTTAAGCAGATCAGCAGGGTTTTCACCTAAAAGTGGGCTGTGCCACGCCCACTGTCTAATTTTGAACGCGGTTCCTATAAAGTCATCTTATACCATTTCAGAGATAAAATTTAATGTCTCTGGCGTGTTTAGTGCTTGATTTATCGCGCTTTTAGTAGTTTTTAACAGTACCGTTATATGGGGAGTGGGCGGAGTTGCCACCCGATTTCAACTATTTTCACACCGTCAATAGAAGTGCTAAAAACATTTGCTTCCAGTGAATTTTGTTATTTTGGCTTGAGCGGTTTAGAAGATATGCACGTTAAACCTATTAGAGGCGGGACCACGCCCACTTTTTAAAAAAAAATGTTAACTGCAGATGCCCCTCCCTAATGTGATCCTGTGTACCAAATAACAGTCTTGTATCTTATTGCGGAGCTTAGTTATGGCAAGTTATTTGTTTTTGATTAATGGCGTTTTGTGGGCGTGGCAGTGGTCCGATTACGCCCATCTGCAATACCAACCGTCTCACAGTACCATGAAACATGTCTACCAAGTTTCATAAAGATATCTCAATTTTTACTCAAGTTAGAGCTTGCACGGACGGACGGACAGACGGACAGACGGACGGACAGACGGACGGACGGACAGACAGTCATCCGGATTTCAACTCGTCTCTTCATCCTGATCATTTATATATATATAACCCTATATCTAACTCGATTAGTTTTAGGTGATACAAACAACCGTTAGGTGAACAAAACTATTATACTCTGTAGCAACAAGTTGCGAGAGTATAAAAATCTAATGAAGTTTTTAATAAATAAAAACATATATGATTTTGACTAAAAACGAATTTTAATCAAATGATTTTGATAACAAATACAAGAACTATTAGAGTTTAGATAAAGCCTTACAAGTTTATTCTAGTTAGCTTTTTTAAATTGTTGAAAACAAAAAAAAAGATAAAATACTTTCATTAATAGTATTATAATATTGTATCTAACTAATAAAAGAACATTTCATTGCATCAGTTTAAAACTAAATAAAATAAGTAAGGAAAAGCTAAGTTCGGGTGTAACCGAACATTTCATACTCTTTCAACTTGCCAGGATCAAAGCCAGGGAAATACCTTCAGGTCCATTTGGTTTGTTATAACAAAGAAAATCAATATACATATGTTATATATAATATGATAGTTTGGGTAATTTTTGAACCAATTTCACAAACTTTAGTATATCCAATATTATACTTCCCGTAATTTTTGCTAAGGTATCTTACTTATTTGCTGAAATTTGCAATATAAAGTCAGCCAGTAGTTTGAAAATCATTCCATTAGGGCAGTGCCACGCCCACTTTTGAACGCGGTTCCTATAAGGTCATCTCATACCATCCCAGAGATAAAATTTAATGTCTCTGGCGTGTTTAGTGCTTGATTTATCTCGCTTTTAGTAGTTTTCAACAAAATTTTCACACTGTCGATAGAGGTGCTAAAAACATTTGTTCTCAGTGAATTTTGTTATTTTGGCTTGAGCGGTTTAGAAGATATGCACATTAAACCTATTAGGGGCGGAATCACGCCCACGTTTAAAAATAAATCTAAACTGCAGAATCCCCTCCATAATGCGATCTTGTGCACGAAATAACAGTCTTGTATCTTATTGCGGAGCTTAGTTATGACAATTTCTTTGTTTTTGATTAATGGCGTTTTGTGAGCGTGGCAGTGGTCCGATTACCATTAATGGTATCACTGCAAAAGCGTATTGTCCATAAAAACTACCCTGAATCATCATCTAAGTCCCTATTACTGCTATCAACAAACGCTTCTTCAACTTTTAAAGAGATATCTTACGAATTTCTTGTTCATTCATTATGTAGCTAATTAATAACGTGCAGGCCAGTATCAGTGTTACCAACTTTGGAGTATTCCCCCTAAATTTAGGGGTTAAAAGACTCTAATGGGATCTTTTTATGGGTGTTATATTTTAAGGATACTTTACATTGAATATTAATTTTTTTTACTGAAAAATATAAAAAATACGTTAGAGATTGCGTTCACATCGAGGCGTGGTAAAGCAAAGCGAAGCAAAATGTTGGATAGCTCTCATCGTTTTACGCTCTGATGATTTGTCATATTTCTATTATGTTGCAATCTCTTTGAAAGTCATAACGTTGAACCTACTAAACTATTTGAAGATCTATTTTTGTTGCTGCACCGACTTGTTGTACCATATTATTTAGAGAAATTGGTGGATTCGGATTTAATTCCAAGAACCATCTGGTGCACACAGCTTCAATGTACTTCCGATTTTATTTTTACGATATGGCATATAAACTTGCGCCCAAAGACTTATCGGATGTAAAAGAAAAATTTAATAAATGTCTTGTTAAGCAGAGCAGATTGAAAGAGGCCTCCAGACAACTTGTACATAATAAAAGTAATTGCTGATTTACATCGGAACGTTGCTACATCTCAGGTAAAATTTTATATCAAACCGGCATTAAGTGATATTCAACGAACTCATATCTATCGTCCAAAAATGACATCGTGTCTGATACTTCTACCTATGTTTTCAGATTTTTTTAATTTTTATAGCGATTGAAAACTAATTTCCGCTGCTCGATTGTGGTTCGTCGTTTCTTTACTTTCGGAACATTTTGCTATAAAGTATAATACAATAGTTTTTCACATCTAACGGTTGCTTGTTACACCTAAAATTAATCGAGACAAACCATATGGTAGGATATAACTAAACTCCAGATTAAGATACAATCCGGTTATTTGGTACAAGGTATCGCAGTAGAAAGGGGCATCTTTGGGCTTAAATTTTTAAAAAAGTTGTCATGAGCACACCCTTTAATAAGTTTAATTAGCATATCTCACAAACCAATAAAACTATTTTAACTAAACTTATTGGTAGGAATTCTACTAGTACTTCTTTATGTTCTGTGAAAAGGGGTTAACTTAGATGATAATCTCCCCATAAAATGGTTATGTTGAAAACTACTAAACGGTGCGGTAACTTACTAAATAAATGCGTCAGAAACATTAAATTTTACATCCAAGATGCTACTGAAAAGCTTTATAGGTACCGTCTTCATTTTGTTTAAATCCCATGTTTCAAGAATGACTCCACCGATTTCAACCAAATATGGTGGATAACATTATGGTCCTATCCTTCGGTTACAATATGCGAAAACTACAACTACTTCCCATATACAAAAATTTTTAATTCAACGCGTATCCGGATATACTAGTGTGTATATATAATATATATAAGAAACAGAAATCGTTAACTTCGGTTGCAAAAAAGCTCATATTATACCTTTCATTTGTTTAAGCAAAGTATAAGTTTTATCTAGATTTTGATAGGTCAGTTTGTATGACAGCTATGTGCTACAGTAGTCCGATCTGAACCATTTCTTTGGAGATTCTATCGTTGCTTTGGATAATAATCCATGCTCAAATATCTCATCAATTAAAAAAGTTTTCATACAAGGACTAGATTTTGATCGTTCATTTTATATGGCAATTTTTTCGAGGATTTAACCCTTGCCTTTGATAATTCGTGCCAAATTTCGTGAAGATATCTTGCCAGTTTGTAGACAGCTATATGCTATAGTGAGCATATGAGAGATTCCTGAAGAGGAAAGGACGTGTGCAAAATTTCAAATCAAAATATCAAAAACTGAGTGACCAGTTCGCGTATATATCGACTCAGCTCATCATACCGATCCTTTACATATACATATATTTTTTAGAGTCTTTGACGTTTCCTTCTGGATGTTACAAACTTCGTGGCAAAATTAATATACCCTGTTAAGGGTATAATTATTCGCCAAGAAGCTGCTCATTTGTCGTAACCGCCGATATCGGATCACTATAGAACTACCTTTGTAAAGATAATTATTCTGTTTTAAACCCCTAATTAGCTGATGGATAGGTACAAAACAAAATCTAGGTAAAATAGGAAATAAACATAGTTCGAAGCGTAGGTAGAAAGCATAACCTAGGTAAAAAAACCTCGATAATGCCCCTTTTGTTATTAACGCCTTAATATTTCCACTAAAATTATTTGATGAAATTTGGCATGGATTATTGGCCACGGTAACAATAAAATATCCTAAGAAATTTTTCAGATCTGACTAGTGTATCACATAGTTGCCATACAAACTGATCGATCTAAATAAATTTGTAAAGTAGAAAATTATGTTAAGAATAAATACATAAGAGTAAGGAGCAAAAATAGAATATATTATTATTTATTAATAATAATAGAGAACTACCTTTGTAAAGACAATTATTCAGTTTTAAAACCCTAATTAACTGATGGGTAGGTACAAAGCAAAACCTAGGTAAAAGAGTAGGTAGAAAGTAAACATACAAGTAGTTCGCAGGGCAGGTGGAAAGTATAACCTACGTAAAACAGAACCTCTACAATGCACTTTTTGTAATTAACACATTAGTATTCCTACG